AATAACCGAAAACAAGATTTTTAGGGTTTTAGATCGATTAGAAACGGTTGTCGTCGTGAAATTTATCTGTAAAATCAGCGCATATTTTCCCAGAAAAAATGGCGATTTAGGGTGGTCGTGTTAAAACGGCATTTTCTCAAAGATAAAAAAGCATTTGACCTAAAAAAGTATATGGTGCATTCTCCGATATAATAAGGTATATCTGGGCAAAATTTGAGCAAAATCGATTTTTCAGTCGTGGCCGCTTTATGTTTGATTTTTGTGGACATCCTCTCTTAAAGACCATAACCAAAGAAGACTGTTCTCAAAATTTCGTATAAGTAATCATAAACTAGACTGAATTGAGTCTGGTCGTTATAGCGATGTACCTCGACAGGAGAGACTGTGTGAATGCTGCGACAAACATGCAGTTGAAGATGAATTTCATTCTTCATTTGAATGTGAAAAATACGAGAACTTGCGAAATAACTCGCACAACATCCTAAAAGATTATTTCCAAATAAGCATCACCGATGAATTAAAGAGAAAGCCGAGCAAATTATTAAGTGATCTTATGTCATTGAATGACCCTGTGATAACAGATCTATTTTCGGAGCATATTTCGAAATGTTTTTGTATCAGAGACAACAGCAACAGCCCTTAAACCAGAAATCACAAATTTCTGTATATTATATTACTTTCCTTTTTTATATTATACTCTTTCTAATCCTTTCTGTTCTTAAACTTTGATATTTGTATTTATCATATATCCTTCTTATTTGATATATCATCATACATGTAAATAAAATAGCAGCATATTGATCATTGTTTTTCACTTTTTCTTTAGTTAAAGTAGTTTTTATACTACTACTAGTTAACTTTTATATATTTTCGATTACGCTTAGCAATACCTGCAATTTATAATAGGTCATGCAAATAAAGCTTATTAATAATAATAATAATAATAATGATAATAATAATAATAATAATAGGATTTATTAGAAATATCCTTCTTATTTCCTTCCTGACAACAAGATTCCTTGCCAGTTACCATTTCCTTATCGAAACCATCATTCCTCTGTGGGGAGGCTCGGGTTTCGAGATTGACGTTTCCTTGCAAAGGCGAAAATTTTCTTTTGAAATGGAAGCACTGTTGTCCACTTGTTTTCTACCTGTTGAAAATTAATTTTCGAAATTCGAAGTGTCTATTGTTTTGTTATTTCCAATGGAATATGTTTTTGTTAAATGCGTTTGAACTATATTACAGTAACTATGCTTAATAGCGCGGCCTTAAAACCCAGAGATTGGATTAAAGTCTCTGTAAAGCATAGGGAGAAGTTTGAACGGCTTTTAGAAGTGCGGGAAAGTGATCCTGAATCGATAACAACAGTAAATGATAATGACGTTTGTTTCAAAAAAGAGTTCGCAATAGGCAATGGCAGTTATGGCACCGAGGTGTATATTTGCTTGGGATCTGACGGGGTAGAACGAGCGATAAAACGTTTGCCCAAACTCATGTGTAAGAAATTCTTGAAGAATGAGCGAGATATCTTGAATTCTCCGAATGCAGTCGACTCGCCACGAATTGTAAATTATTGTTTCTACGATGACACTTCCAACCCTGATTTCGGTTATTTGATTCTGAACTTGTATGAACAGAATCTTGAAGAATTTATCAGGGAAGAAGGCGAAAGCTTGACAGAATCCCGTGTTCGAAAAATGATACGCCAAGTGTTGGAAGGGTTGAAAGCATTACATGCCAGAGAGCCTAGAATTCTGCACAGAGATTTGAAGCCAACTAATATACTTGTTGATGTGTATGGTAATTTACTGCTGTCTGATTTTGGTATTGGACGCTTTTTCCCAGA